GAGGAGGAGAAGGAGAGGAGGAGAAGGAAGAGGAGAAGGAAAAGGAGGAGAAGGAAGAGGAGGAGAAGGAAGAGGAGAAGGAAGAGGAGGAGAAGGAACAGGAGGAGGAGAAGCAACAGGAGGAGGAGAAGGAAGAGGAGGAGAAGGAAGAGGAGGAGGAGGAAGAGGAGGAGGAGGAAGAGGAGAAGGAAGAGGAGGAGAAGGAAGAGGAGGAGAAGGAAGAGGAGGAGGAGGAAGAGGAGGAGGAGAAGGAAGAGGAGGAGAAGGAAGAGGAGGAGGGGAAGAGGAGGAGGAGGAAGAGGAGAAGGAAGAGGAGGAGAAGGAAGAGGAGGAGGAGGAAGAGGAGGAGGAGGAAGAGGAGGAGGAGAAGGAAGAGGAGGAGGAGGAAGAGGAGGAGGAGGAAAGAGGAGGAGAAGGAAGAGGAGGAGGAGGAAGAGGAGGAGGAGGAAGAGGAGAAGGAAGAGGAGGAGAAAGGGAAGAGGAGGAGGAGAAGGAAGAGGAGGAGGAGAAGGAAGAGGAGGAGGAGAAGGAAGAGGAGGAGGAGAAGGAAGAAGGATAAACTAAGAAGTAAGAAGGATAAATTAGGAAGTAAGAAGGATAAATTAAGAAGTAAGAAGGATAATTAAGAAGTAAAAAGGATAAATTAGGAATTAAGAAGGATAAATTAGAAGTAAGAAGGATAAATTAAGAAGTAAGAAGGATAAATTAGAAATTAAGAAGGATAAATTAAGAAGGATAAATTAAGAAGTAAGAAGGATAAATTAAGAAGTAAGAAGGATAAACTAAGAAGTAAGAAGGATAAATTAAGAAGTAAGAAGGATAAATTAAGAAGTAAGAAGGATAAATTAAGAAGGATAAATTAAGAAGTAAGAAGGATAAATTAGAAGTAAGAAGGATAAATTAAGAAGTAAGAAGGATAAATTAAGAAGTAAGAAGGATAAATTAGGAATTAAGAAGGATAAATTAAGAAGTAAGAAGGATAAATTAAGAAGTAAGAAGGATAAATTAGGAATTAAGAAGGATAAATTAAGAAGTAAGAAGGATAAATTAGGAATTAAGAAGGATAAATTAAGAAGTAAGAAGGATAAATTAAGAAGGATAAATTAAGAAGTAAGAAGGATAAATTAAGAAGTAAGAAGGATAAACTAAGAAGTAAGAAGGATAAACTAAGAAGTAAGAAGGATAAATTAAGAAGTTTAAAAAGGATAAATTAAGAAGTAAGAAGGATAAAACTAAGAAGTAAGAAGGATAAATTAAGAAGTAAGAAGGATAAACTAAGAAGTAAGAAGGATAAATTAAGAAGTAAGAAGGATAAATTAAGAAGTAAGAAGGATAAATTAAGAAGTAAGAAGGATAAATTCAGAAGTAAGAAGGATAAACTAAGAAGTAAGAAGGATAAAATAAGAAGTAAGAGGATTAAACTAAGAAGTAAGAAGGATAAACTAAGAAGTAAGAAGGATAAATTAAGAAGGATAAACTAAGAAGTAAGAAGGATAAACTAAGAAGTAAGAAGGATAAATTAAGAAGTAAGAAGGATAAACTAAGAAGTAAGAAGGATAAATTAATAAGTAAGAAGGATAAACTAAGAAGTAAGAAGGATAAATTAAGAAGTAAGAAGGATAAACTAAGAAGTAAGAAGGATAAATTAAGAAGTAAGAAGGATAAATTAAGAAGTAAGAAGGATAAACTAAGAAGTAAGAAGGATAAATTAAGAAGTAAGAAGGATAAATTAAGAAGTAAGAAGGATAAACTAAGAAGTAAGAAGGATAAACTAAGAAGTAAGAAGGATAAACTAAGAAGTAAGAAGGATAAAGTAAGAAGGATAAATTAAGAAGTAAGAAGGATAAATTAAGAAGTAAGAAGGATAAACTAAGAAGTAAGAAGGATAAATTAAGAAGTAAGAAGGATAAACTAAGAAGTAAGAAGGATAAACTAAGAAGTAAGAAGGATAAACTAAGAAGTAAGAAGGATAAATTAAGAAGGATAAACTAAGAAGTAAGAAGGATAAAAATTTAAAAAGTAAGAAGGATAAATTAAGAAGTAAGAAGGATAAATTAAGAAGTAAAAAGGATAAACTAAGAAGTAAGAAGGATAAACTAAGAAGTAAGAAGGATAAATTAAGAAGTAAGAAGGATAAATTAAGAAGTAAGAAGGATAAACTAAGAAGTAAGAAGGATAAACTAAGAAGTAAGAAGGATAAATTAAGAAGTAAGAAGGATAAATTAAGAAGTAAGAAGGATAAATTAAGAAGTAAGAAGGATAAATTAAGAAGTAAGAAGGATAAATTAAGAAGTAAGAAGGATAAACTAAGAAGTAAGAAGGATAAATTAAGAAGGATAAACTAAGAAGTAAGAAGGATAAACTAAGAAGTAAGAAGGATAAATTAAGAAGTAAGAAGGATAAACTAAGAAGTTAGAAGGATAAACTAAGAAGTAAGAAGGATAAATTAAGAAGGATAAACTAAGAAGTAAGAAGGATAAATTAAGAAGGATAAAGTAAGAAGTAAGAAGGATAAATTAAGAAGGATAAACTAAGAAGTAAGAAGGATAAATTAAGAAGGATAAATTAAGAAGGATAAGTTAAGAAGTAAGAAGGATAAATTAAGAAGTAAGAAGGATAAATTAAGAAGGATAAATTAAGGAGTAAGAAGGATAAATTAAGAAGGATAAATTAAGAAGTAAGAAGGATAAATTAAGAAGGATAAATTAAGAAGTAAGAAGGATAAATTAAGAAGTAAGAAGGATAAATTAAGAAGTAAGAAGGATAAATTAAGAAGTAAGAAGGATAAATTAAGAAGTAAGAAGGATAAACTAAGAAGTAAGAAGGATAAATTAAGAAGTAAGAAGGATAAATTAAGAAGTAAGAAGGATAAACCTAGAAGTAAGAAGGATAAATTAAGAAGGATAAACTAAGAAGTAAGAAGGATAAATTAAGAAGTAAGAAGGATAAACTAAGAAGTAAGAAGGATAAATTAAGAAGGATAAATTAAGAAGTAAGAAGGATAAACTAAGAAGTAAGAAGGATAAATTAAGAAGTAAGAAGGATAAATTAGGAAGTAAGAAGGATAAATTAAGAAGTAAGAAGGATAAATTAAGAAGTAAGAAGGATAAACTAAGAAGTAAGAAGGATAAACTAAGAAGTAAGAAGGATAAATTAAGAAGTAAGAAGGATAAACTAAGAAGTAAGAAGGATAAACTAAGAAGTAAGAAGGATAAATTAAGAAGGATAAATTAAGAAGTAAGAAGGATAAATTAAGAAGTAGAAGGATAAATTAAGAAATAAGAAGGATAAATTAAGAAGTAAGAAGGATATAAACTAAGAAGTAAGAAGGATAAACTAAGAAGTAAGAAGGATAAATTAAGAAGTAAGAAGGATAAACTAAGAAGTAAGAAGGATATATTAAGAAGTAAGAAGGATAAATTAAGAAGTAAGAAGGATAAACTAAGAAGTAAGAAGGATAAACTAAGAAGTAAGAAGGATAAACTAAGAAGTAAGAAGGATAAATTAAGAAGTAAGAAGGATAAAACTAAGAAGTAGAAGGATAAACTAAGAAGTAAGAAGGATAAATTAAGAAGTAAGAAGGATAAACTAAGAAGTAAGAAGGATAAATTAAGAAGTAAGAAGGATAAATTAAAAGTAAGAAGGATTAAATTAAGAAGTAAGAAGGATAAATTAAGAAGTAAGAAGGATAAATTAAAGTAAGGGAAAGGGTAAACTAAGAAGTAAGAAGGATAAACTAAGAAGTAAGAAGGATAAATTAAGAAGTAGAAGGATGAATTAAGAAGTAAGAAGGATAAATTAAGAAGTAAGAAGGATAAACTAAGAAGTAAGAAGGATAAATAAGAAGTAAGAAGGATAAAATAAGAAGTAAGAAGGATAAACTAAGAAGTAAGAAGGATAAACTAAGAAGTAAGAAGGATAAATTAAGAAGTAAGAAGGATAACTAAGAAGTAAGAAGGATAAACTAAGAAGTAAGAAGGATAAATTAAGAAGTAAGAAGGATAAACTAAGAAGTAAGAAGGATAAACTAAGAAGTAAGAAGGATAAACTAAGAAGTAAGTTAGTTAACGAGAGTAACTATAATAGGCGGGTTAACGTTGCTTTACCTGGTAATTAACGTAGTGATTAACGAGAAACATTAACGACCTAACACAAAAATTCATGTATAATTTATAGAGAAAATATAATGATATAATAATAATAATAATAATAATAATAATAATAATAATAATAATAATAATAATAAATAATAATAAATAATAATAATAATAATAATATTAATAATAATAATAATAATAATAATAATAATAAAAATAATAATAATAATAATTAATAATAATGATGATGATGATAGTTTCGGACTCCGGTCTGAGGCTGTGCCTAAGAGGAAACATTGTGAGAATGAGCGAAACATTATGAGAGAGTAGGCTGCGAGGCCGTGTAAATCTTAACTGTAACAGAATCAATACTTGTGTGTGTACCATTATGACTGATACAGGTTCAGTACTTGTTGCTGTAGCCAGCCTGCCAGCCAGCCTGCCAGCCTGCCAGCCTGCCTGCCTGCCTGCCAGCCTGCCAGCCAGCCTGCCAGCCTGCCAGCCTGCCTGCCAGCCTGCCAGCCAGCCTGCCGCTGACCGCCGCCAGCCACCCTCCCAGCCGGGCCCCAGCCACCCTGCCAGCCAGCTGCCTCCCAGCCTGCCAGCCAGCCTGCCGCCACCCCTGCCCCCAGCCTGCCACCCTGCCTCCCTACCAGCCAGCCACCCTGCCAGCCACCCTGCCGCACCCTGCCAGCCAGCCTGCCGCCAGCCTGCCGCCGCCGCCTCCCAGCCTGCCAGCCAGCCTCCCGCCACCCTGCCAGCCACCCGCCAGCCTGCCTCCCTCCCTCCTCCCAGCTGCCAGCCGCCTCCCAGCGCCACCCTGCCAGCCTGCCTGCCCCCCTGCCAGCCTGCTCCCAGTGCCAGCCGCACCCTCCCTCCAGCTGCCAGCTGCCTGCCAGCCTGATGCCACCCGCCAGCCACCAGCCGCCTGCCACCCTGCCTCCCTCCCTGCCACCCGGCCAGCTACAAGCCACCCAGAAGCAGCAGCCGCCACCGCCAGCCAGCCCCCACCCAACAACAGCCACCCAACCAGCCCCCAGCAACAGCCCCAGCCAGCCCCCCGCCAGAGAGCAGGCCAGCCCAGCCAGCCAGCCAGTCACCGCCAGCCTGCCGCCACCGCCAGCCACCCAGCACCCACCCAGCCCCAGCCTCAACCAAAACCCCCCGCCAGTAGCCGCCAGCCAGCAGCCACCCAACCAGCCAGTCACCCACCCGTCAGCCACCACCAGCCAGAAACCCCCAACCAGCACCCGCCAGCAGCCAGTCTGCCAGCCAGCGCCGCCACCCAAACCCCCAGCCACCAGCCACCCAGCCACCCACCAATCATCCATCCAGCCAGAAAGTGTGTGTGTTTGTGTGTGTGTGTATGTTGTATTCCCCTGTTGAGGTTGGGGGGGTCGAGCCCGATCTGGCCCCGCCTCTTCACTGATCGTACTAGGTCATTCCTAAAACCGTGAGCTTTTTCATACCTCTGCTTAAAGCTATGTATGGATCCCGCCTCCACTCATCGCTTCCCAAAATATTCCCCTTACGACTACTCTGTGGCTGAAGAAAAACTTCCAAAAAAACCCGTGTTCATCTGTGTCTTCAGCTTCCAACTGTGTCCCCTTGTTTTACTGTGTCCAATCTCTGGAACATCCTTCTTTGTCCCCTTGCAATTCCTCTCAGTATTTTGTATGTCGTTTCATACCCCCCTATCCCCCCTGTCCCCCAGTGTGTCAGGTTGATTTCCCTTAACCTCTCCTCGTGGAAACCCTCTTAGCTCTGGGACTAGCTTGTTGAAAAACCTTTTGCATTTTCTCTAGTTTTTTCACGTGCTTGGCGGTGGGGGTTTCCCCAAATGGGGGCTTACTCCAAATGGGCCAAACGTACACGGTGACAGGGTCCTGAATGATTCCTTATTAAGATTCGGAATGCTTTTCTGGGGTTTTGCAGGCTCCATATGCTGAGCAGTTATTTGGTTGATGTGGTTTTGGGAATGTGCCTGGTGTTATACTACCCCAAGCTTTTCCCCTTTTGAGGGTTTGTGTTTTGGCCCCCCTAGACTGTATCCGTCGGGTTTTCTTTGACCTTCCCCAATCTTCTGATTTGCACTTGGGGGGATTAACTCCCCGGAGCCCAAATTTTGGGGCCAGGTCTGCAGCCTGTCCCGATCCCTTTGTAGTTCTGCTGGTCTTCGATCGAGTGAATTCTTCTCATCAACTTCACGTCATCTGCAAACAGGGACACCTCAGAGTCTATTCCTTCCGTCATGTCGTTCACAAATACCAGAAACAGCACTGGTCCTAGGACTGACCCTGTGGGACCCCGCTGGTCACAGGTGCCCACTCTGACACCTCGCCACGTACCATGACTCGCTGCTGTCTTCCTGACAAGTATTCCCTGATCCATTGTAGTGCCTTCCCTGTTATCCCTGCTTGGTCCTCCAGTTTTGCACCAATCTCTTGTGTGGAACTGTGTCAAACGCCTTCTTGCAGTCCAAGAAAATGCAATCCACCCACCCCTCTCTCTCTTGTCTTACTGCTGTCACCATGTCATAGAACTCCAGTAGGTTTGTGACACAGGATTTCCCGTCCCTAAAACCATGTTGGCTGCTGTTGATGAGATCGTTCTTTCTAGGTGTTCCACCACTCTTCTCCTGATAATCTTCTCCATGATTTGCATACTATTACATGTCAGTGACACTGGTCATGTGTGTGGTGTGTGTGTGTGTGTGTGTGTGTGTGTTGTGTGTGTGTGTGTGTGTGTGTGTGTGATGTGTTGTGTGTGTGTGTGTGTGTGTGTGTGTGGTGTGTGTGTGTGTGTGTGGTGTGTGGTGTGGTTGTGTGTGTGTGTATGTGTGTGTATGTGTGTGTGTGTGTGTGTGTGTATGTTGTGTGTGTTGTGTATGTTGTGTGTGTGTATGTTGTGTGTTTGTGTGTTGTGTGTGTGTGTGGGTGTATGTGTGTGTGTGTGTGCGTGTGTGTGTGTGTGTATGTGTGTGTGTGTGTGTGTGTGTGTGTGTATGTTGTGTGTGTTGTTTATGTTGTGTGTGTGTGTATGTGTGTGTGTGGTGTGTGTGTGTGTGTGTGTATGTTGTGTGTGTATGTGTGTGTGTGTGTGTGTGTGTGTGTGTGTGTATGTTGTGTGTGTGTGTATGTGTGTGTGTGTGTGTGTGTGTGTGTGTGTGTGTGTATGTTGTGTGTGTTGTTTATGTTGTGTGTGTGTGTATGTGTGTGTGTGTGTGTGTGTGTGTGTGTGTGTATGTTGTGTGTGTGTGTATGTGTGTGTGTGTGTGTGTGTGTGTGTGTGTGTATGTTGTGTGTGTTGTTTATGTTGTGTGTGTGCATCAGGGAGGTAGTCATAGCGTGGTGGTACACAAGGAGGAAGTGTCTCACCCTCACCCCTCACCCCTCCCCCCTCACCCCTCACCCTCACCCCTCACCCCCTCCCCTCATTCATTACGCCACTGATTATCATCTCTCTCTCACTTCTTCCACTCACTCATCCCCTCATTTTCTTTACTTCATTCCTTTCTTCCTTCTCTCTCTCTCTCTCTCACCTACTCCCCCAACTTCTCCCCTCCCTCTCACTCCCTCCCCCCCGTTCCCCCTCCCTCCCCCTTCCCTTCCCCCTCGTGGGTCAGGTGCTGGTATGGATTAGTTGAGTTACTTACCTGATATCCGTTGATCAAATATCACTCGGAGAGGGGGAGGGGGAGGGGGAGGGGGAGGGGGAGGGGAATGAGAAACGAGAGAAAATAGAGATAAGGAGGAAGGGAAGATAGGAATGAGGTAGTAAGAACAAGTAGGATAGAAAAGGAGACAGGGACAACAATAGTGGCAAGAACAACCATCATTTGTAAGTGTAACAATGACAGTGGCATGACACCATCCTTGAATAGTTAACAATGACAGTGGCATGCACCATCATTGAAAGTTTAAACAATGACAGTGGCATGACACCATCATTGAAAGTGTAACAAAGGACAGTGGCTATGACACCATCCCATTGTAAGTGAAACAATGACATGCCTGATCACCATCATTGTAAGTGTAACAATGACAGTGGCATGACACCATCATTGTGAGTGTAACAATGACAGTGGCATGACACCATCATTGTAAGTGTAACAATGACAGTGGCATGACACAATCATTGTGAGTGTAGCATTGACAGTGCATGACAACCATCATTGTAAGTGTAAACAATGACAGTGGCATGACACCGTCATTGTAATTGTAACAATGACAGTGGCAAAGTGCAAGACAACCATCAGTGAATTGTAACAATGACAGAGGCAATGACACCATCAATGAAGTGAAACAATGACAGTGCATGACACCCATTGTGGAGTGTAACAATGACAGTGGCATGACACCAACCAATGTAAGTTAACAAGACAGTGGCATGACACCATCATTGTAAGTGTAGTAACCAATGACATTGGCATGACAAACCATCAAATTGTGGAGTGTAACAATTACATGCAATGACACTCATCATTGTAAGTGTAACAATGACAGTGGCATGACACCCATCATATGTTATGAGTAACAAAGACAGTGCATGACCCATGATTGTGGAGTGTAAACAATGACAGTGGCATGACACCATCATTGTAAGTGTAACATTAAAGTGGCAAGACACCATCATTGTGGAGTGTAACAAGACAGGAGGCAGAAACCATCATTGTAATTGGGGTAACAACAATATGAAAAACCAGTGGCATGACACCATCATTGTATGTGTACAATGACAGTGGCATGAAACCATCATTGTAAGTGTAAACAATGACATGGCAAGACACCAACAGTTAAAGTGTAACAAGACAGTGGCATGACACCATCAATGTAAGTTGTAACAATGACAGTGGCATACACCATCATTGTAAGTTAACAATGACAGTGGCATGACACCATACAATTGTGAGTGAAACAATGACAGTGGCATCACCATCATTGTAATAGTAACAAACGACAGTGCATGACACCATCAAGTAATTGTAAACCAATGACAGTGGGCAAAATGACACCATCATTGTATGTGTAACAATGACAGTGCATTGAACACCATCATTTTGAGTGTAACAATGACAGTGCATGAACACCATCATTGTAAGTGTAACAATGACATGGCAGAACACCATCATTGTAAGTGCAACAATGACATGGCATGACAACCATCATGTATGTGTAACAATGACAGTGGCTGACACCAATCATTGTAAGTGTAACAATGACAGTGGCATGACACCATCTTGTTGAGTGTAACGATGACAGTGTAACATGAACCATCATTGTAAGTGTAACAATGACAGTGGCATGACACCATCATTGTAGGGTAACAATACAGGAGGGCATGACACCAACATATGTAGAGTGTAACAGTGACATGCATGACACCATCATTGTAAGTGTAACAATGACATTGCATGGCACCATCATTGTAAGGTAACAAAGACAGGGGCATACACCATCATTGTAAGGTGAAACAATTGACAGTGGCATGAACACCTCATTTTATGTTAACAATGACAGTGCATGACACCATCATTGTAAGTGTAAACAGTGACAGTGGGCATGAACACCATCATTGAGTGAAACATGACAGAGTGGCATGACACCATCATTGTAAGTGTAACAATGACAGTGGCATGACACCATCATTGTAAGTGTAACAATGACAGTGGCATGACACCATCATTGTGAGTGTAACAATGACAGTGGCATGACACCATCATTGTGAGTGTAACAATGACAGTGGCATGACACCATCATTGTAAGTGTAACAATGACAGTGGCATGACACCATCATTGTAAGTGTAACAGTGACAGTGGCATGAACACCATCTTGAGTTTAATCAATGACAGTGGCATGACACCATCATTGTAAGTGTAACATGGACAGTGCATGACACCATCATTGTATGTTGGGGGGGTAACAATGAACAGTGGTATGACACCATCATTGTGACTGTAACAATGACAGTGGCAAGACACCAAACATTGTAAGTGTAACAAAAAAGGAAACAGTGTGCAGACACCATCATTGTGAGTGTAACAATGACAGTGGCATAACACCAACTTTGGTGATTGTAACAATGACAGTGGCAATGACACCATCATTGAGAGTGTAACAATGACAGTGGCATGACACCATCATTGTAAGTGTAACAATGACAGTGGCATGACACCATCATTGTAAGTGTAACATTGACAGTGGCATGACACCATCATTGTAAGTGTAACAATGACAGTGGCATGACACCATCATTGTAAGTGTAACAATGACAGTGGCATGACACCATCATTGTAAGTGTAACAATGACAGTGGCATGACACCATCATTGTAAGTGTAACAAT